TGCACTAAGCATGAATTCATCATCTCAAACCTCACTGCAAAACTCAAACTGCTCTCTAATAAGATGGGCTGTTGTTGTTAAGTGCTGTTGAGTTGGTTCCAACTCATAGCAACCCTGTAAAGAGTTTCCAAAGAGTGGCTGGTGAGTTTGAACTGCCGACCTTGCTATTCAAACTGACCTTGACGTCAAGTGCTTATCCTATGGAGAAGCCTTAAAAGACATGAGATTCCTTGAACTCATTAGCTAATGTAGTCTTAAGATAACTCCATAGCACTTGACTATCTGCTTGCCTCTCGGGGCAGCATCTGTGACTTCAAAAATACCACCTTTGTATAAACATCAAGTCCATCAATAATTCTGCAAAGTCGAGACACGAGCACCATTTGGTTCCAAGACCCTAGGATATCCCAGTTATTACCAGGACTTACTGGCTCTATGGGAAGCCAGTCCTGGAGTTCCTAGCTTTGGTCTCTGCTTTCTCCTATTCTCATCATTCTTTTAATCTTCATATGCATCTTCCTATTCGCCCCCTGTCTCCTGTATATATTTACTAAGCTTATTTCCTCTGGGCTCCAGGACCCTTACCTACACCTGCTGATCTCACAAAGTTGTCATCCTTGTAGCACAGCTCCTTAGCACAGGCAGATAGAAACTTCTTCCAGGTTAGGCAGGCCTACGACCCAGCGCCAGCGGAAGGATCTCTAGAAAATGAGATCTCCGTCACTTAACCACTTCGGAAGATTTTTGCTTGCTAGTCTCTCCGGGGATGGAAATGTTAGGGTAAGGGGACAAGAGGAAAATTACTGGTAGCGTAGTGGTTACGAATCGGGCTGTGAACCTTAAGGTCAGCAGTTCGAAACTGCCAGCTGCTCCGCGGGAGAAAGATGAGGCTTTCTACTCCTGTAAAGATTTACACCCTCGGAAACCCTGTACAGGGTCGCTATGGGTCGGAACCGACTCGACGGCACTTAATAACAAGCAGAAAAATTCAGTCGTGACTGCAGGGGGAAAAATCCATAGAACCATTTAAAACCCCTCCAAATACAAGGAACATGGAGGCAGGATGTGGACAAGATACAGAAGTTATCTCCTTGTCAGAAGGGCAAGATATAAACAAGTTTTCAAAAACAAAAAAAGACTAGCTCCTTATGCTTCCGGCACCCCGTGGAGTTTGTGAATCCTTCCTCCCTATTCAGCTACCTAGCAGGGTAATAAGCTGAAAACGCTACCTATTAACCTCCCCTTTAACCAGTTTTCAGGGCAAGTGCAAAACATCTCCCTTGACCCCCCAACAAGGTAGGTACATCAGGGCAGACCTGGTTCCTGACAGAAGAGCGCATGCGTGGACAGCCTTCCATGGATTCCATCATGGACGCCAGGTGCGCACGCAGCACAGTAAAAGAGAACCAGGGAAGCACACACAAGAGCCAACTACACTGATAGGAAGCCTGGCACCTTTTTGAAATCTGGCAAAACCATTTCTGCAGCTTAACCTCTCACTATAAATACAGCCTAGACTGTGAACGCAGGGAGGCTCTCTTGTCTATGGCATGTCTCCCCTGCAGGTATTTTTCATACTCTAGTAAACGTCTTCAATACTGTATTTCGTGACTTTCTAGTCTTCTGTAGTCCGTTCCGGTATCAACACATTGTAAAATATGTATCCAGTGTCACTAAATAATTTGTGTGGAAATTGCTACATGGTAAATTGGTCTGCTGTGTAAACTTTTACTAAACACGAGGGCTTCATACTAGATGAAACGGCTCATTTACAACTGATGGAAACAAGACGTGCATGAGCACTGCAGTGTGCATCAAGAAACAGAGCCAGAGGCCCACCATGCTACTCTGTATGTCGGCTGCCACCTGTAAATCCGGGCAACGCTGCCTACTGGTTGTGCAATAGGCACTGCATTCATTCCATCAGCTATGACTGAACCAATTTGAAGTGACCTGAAGCCCTGCCAAAAACACATGATTATGGTG